TTGCCCGATAAGTCACAATCCTTCTAGAAACTCCAGCACGCATGCTCCCAGCGTCGCGTGACTTCCGCTGTCGTAACAGTAACAATAATCACTTCAGCGACTCAAAATTACTTTTCTCTAGAAGTTAATATAAATATTTCAGTCTTACTAGAAAAAATTGCAAAGGATTGGTGTGTTGTAATGAAATTAATTTTTCCAGGACCTGTTTTCCTCGTTAACTTTTACGTCTACATTTGACTTAGATTTTGCACTTTGTGTTAGCTGTAATTTTTGTAAAACTTTTAAAATAAAAACTTTTTTTTTGCTATTTTTTACAGACACGAGTGGAGTTGAACTATTTGATGAGAACAGTGTTTGTATTCCATTTGAGACAGATGTTCAGTCCCCATCTCGACTAGTCCTCACTCCCCAACTCGCTCCAAAATGTTCTTCCGGTTCCTACTCTTCCCTTGTCTCATTGGGAAGAGTTTCCTTGGGGAAGTTCTTTGACAGATCTGCTCCACGTTCTCTCCAATTGTCACCAGCTCTTTCTCAGCATTCCCTTTATGCCCAATATATATTCTCCAACCCAGAGGTTGCTCCTCTCTCGAATTCCCATTTCCACAAAATGGGGGTTTCACCCGTCACTTCCGAGATATATTTTGTTCATTCTGATTCTCCTATAACTAGTCCTAACAGCAGAGGAAACGTTAGTCATTCTCAAAGCTGTAAAAATCAAATGCTACAAGGAAAAAAAGTGTACACTCGATCAGTTTCGTGTTCTTCTGACGCAAGATCTCGGGTAGAGAACTCTCTATGGAATGTACCTTCTGGAGACGACACTCGCCCTTGTAGTATCCATGATCAGCCATTACTGACCATAGAAAAGTCTTCATTTTCTACCCAACCTCCTGATTTAATACCTTTAACTGTAAGTGGACAACCAGCTCTTAAGCAGCCATACAAGCGTAAGAATAGGACGTACAGTCATTTTAAATCAGACTCTCAGCTGTTTAATGTTAAACTTGCTGTTAATAACGGCTGTCCACTGAAGGGCTCTCTAGAAATAAGGTGATGTTTGAATTTAGAAACCTTCTCATTGCAAAAAAAAAAGAAAAGAAAAAGGCACTACCTAAATCATTCCATCATTATTTGTTCAAGTTTGTATGTAATATTTAAGTCTCAGGAGTTTGATTAGCACGAGTATATTTGACACACAAATGTCCATTTGTTTATAATGAAGTTCATAATCGGACATGTTTTCCCCAACATTTCTATTGCAGGTTATCTATTTATTTAATATTTTATCAAGAAAGTAATATTGCTGTTACATCTTAAACGAAATAACATCTCAATACATATGTTTACATTCGCTGGAATTTGTAAGAAGTTTTAAGATTTTTTTTTCTGAAGTGGTAGTAAATATCTGTTCCTAAATAAAGACAACTTCGTAAACTACAAATTTTCTATAATCATTATTCTTACTCTAGATAGCCAGTCATGCCAAGTGGTGAACGTGCAGGGCTGCGAATCCGAAGGTTCAATACACTCCACACTTTCAGCCGCAAGCGCATTATAAAAGTGACAGTCAATCCTCTTGTTTTCACAAATAAAACATCTGATAATTATAATAAATTCATCTTGTGTGTGTGTAAAAATCATAATAAATATTTTTAACATTACAAGTCAACAGAATTTATTTGTGAATTTGCAGATGGAGAGCCGCTATCCAGCAAGACACGCCGCCATAGGAGATTTGTTCTTTCTCTAAACCAAGTAAGTCGTCGTTAAGTAAGGGACGTTTATCACAAACGCTAATGTCATCCAAGATTGTGGTGGTAATAAGTACCAAAATAGTATGGATGATCCTTGCAACAAGTATATAATGTACATTTCGATTAAACGTTAGTTTTCCCCTTTAGGAACACATAAAGGACTGTTTTTGGAGCATATGAAAGCATAGAATATACCGTAGCATTGTCTTGGATAAGCGTAGACACTCAAAACTAAATTTTAACTCACGAGACGACTGTGTTATGTGTCATGTTTACTTGTAATATTCTGAACCTTTTCATTTATCTTCCCGATAGCACTCCAATGGGTCGTTGGTAAGTTAAAACACTTACAATGTTAAATTTGTGCTTATTTCAAAAAGTACACAAAAATTGATACCGTATTTACCAGTTGAGTAACAAGGAAAGGATGGAACGAACCCATTTCTATACGAGAATGTCACTCGTGTTTGGATGCATATTGTGACACATCACTAATACTTTTAATTATCTAGTTTGACTGCACTATTTGTAGCTTTAGATATTAAGTGAATTTTTAATCTGAACTTTTTATGATGAAAAACATCTCTGCATGATGGGCTATCTGTCCTGTGTTCATCACAAGAGTAGAGCTTCGAATTTTAGCACCATAAGACTTTTTTTTAATACACAGGTAAGGGGCGTATTGATCATAATTCAGACACACACAAAAAAAATAAGAACAAAAAAGGCCTGGCATTCGCATCACAATCTGTGGTTCGCTGGTTCGAATCCTGTCACCGAACATGCTCGCCCTTTCAGCCGTGGGGGCATAATGTTATAATAAATCCCACTATTCTTTGGTAACGAATAGCCCAAGAATTGGTGGTGGGTGTTTTGTCTATCTTCATTCCCTCTAGTCTATCACCTCAAAATTAGGGACGATTAGCGCAGATAGCCCTCGAGTAGATTTGTGCAAAATGCATTACACAAACATATAAAAATCGTGTTTGTTATAGAAGCCATCTATCTTTGATTATACACACTAAAAACTTGGAATTTCGAGAGATCTAATTGTCAAGAAGTAAGCACTTGTAGTATATACGACATGCAGATCAAGACACAAGTAGTGTATCGTGCGGCTAAAACAACCTGCAGGGGACACTGTGTGTTATTATGTGTATGTGCTCTACTGGACCATTACTTCACATACCCAAATTTGAAGGCAATCCATTAAGAAATACACGAGATATAAAATATCCAATTTTGATTGAATTTCTTCCTATTTTTTTTTTGCCCCCCCAGTGGCACAGCGGTATGTCTACGAACTTACAACGCTAGAATCAGTGTTTTTCTGGCCCGGCATGGCCAGGTGGTTAGGGCACTCGACTCGCAATCTGCGGGTCGCGGGTTCGAATCCCCGTCCCACCAAACATGCTCGCCCTTTCAGCCGTGGGGGCGTTATAATGTGACGGTCAATCCCACTATTGGTTGGGAAAAGAGTAGCTCAAG